CTCTTTTCCCAAAAGTCATAACCAGTTATGTCCATCAGAAATCATAAATCTGAGGTAAGAAAACCGCTACACATCTTTTATATTAAATCTTTGCATGACTTTTGTCTTTTTCTCTGTTTATATTTGAACCAGAAACGGTGGGTAGCTGTTTTGTCCCAGGAGTACCCGACTCTGGCTTTCCACGCCAGCCTGACTAACTCCTTCGGTAAAGGCTCTCTCATCCAGCTCCTCAGGCAGTTTGGAAAGGTAAGCAAAAAAAAAAATCCTTGAACTTCTTCTAAAACAACAACACACTAAATGTTCAAGCGTAAGCATATTGTCCAGATCTTCCTTTTCAGTCATTTCACTCAGTACAACACACAGTTGTATATGGGGACGCGCGCGCCTGGCTGAAGCCACCTCTAATCACGTCTTTAGACCGGTGACGTTGAACGTCTGGTGACAGGCTCCGCCTTCACCCTATAAGTTCGGAATCACCAGCGTCATTACTCAGTTCTATCGCCCTTCACCTCGCGATAGTCACCTCYAAACCTGAGCTCACATAGCTGCTGCTAGTTAGCTCAGCTTCTAAGGTTCTTAGGCTAGCTTTACTGGTGCTAACCGCGTTACCTGCTGGTTTGTGTGTCTGCCGCTCGACGCTACTTAAGTGACCTTTATTTTCTGCTGAAAATCTGTTTTGGTAAATGGACTGTACTTATAGAGCGCCTTTCTATCCATCCAGGACACTCAAAGCGCTTCACACTACAGACATTCACCCATGCACACACACATTCACACAMTGATGATGGCAAACTACAATTTTAGCCACAGCTGCCCTGGGGCACACTGACAGAGGTGAGGCTGCCATACACAGGCGCCACTGGACCCTCTGACCACCATCAGTAGGCAAGGTGGGTAAGGTGTCTTGCCTAAGGACACAACGACTGAGTCGACTGGACGGGGATCGAACCGGCGACCTTCCGGTTCCAGGAAGGCTCCCTTAACCACTCTACCACAGCTGCCCCAATTGAACCGTTTTGTGGTTCACGATGAGCACAAATCCACCTTCGAAGAAGCCGAAGTCTTCTGTTTGCCCCTGTCCTCAGGGGTGCGGCCTTAAGCTTAATGAGAAGGACCAGCATGAGGTCTGCCCGGCCTGCCTAGGAATCATTCACGCTCGACGGGCGCTTGTGGAGCCCGAGTCCTGCCGGGCTTGTGCCGGACTTTCACGTCCGACAYTGGAGAGAAGAGTAAAATTCCTGGAGAAAATGCTGGGGGAAACTGCTGTTTTCCGACAAGACCCGCTGCTCTCCGAATCCAGCCAGACGGCTCAGTCCGACGAAGACAAGGATTCGGCGGTCGAAGCCCCCGTTGCTAGCTGGGCGGACCAGATGGAGCACGAGGAGGCCTCACCCGACATCGAGGGGGGCGAGACCCAGTTTCTACTGGATCTAAACCAAGAGGAGGACGATGTTCTGCAGATGGAGCAGGAGGTTCTCAGTCTGTCTGAAGACGACGAGGAGCCGTGCCCACCTCACTCCACCCCCTCTGAACACATTTTTATTATTAAGAGGTCCTGATAAAAAGCTTTAGGACTAACACAGCCTGCCACAGTAACAAATTTTGCATGACGATAAATTGTCTCAGAAATTGTCATGATAAATGATAATATTGTTTGGAGACATTTTAAACTAATATGAGTTAGAAAAAGCTTGTTTACGTGGAATATAGTGATTCACTGATTTGAGATACATTTCTTTCTTTCTTTCTAAATAAACGTTTATGTTGATGCATTAATATGTGCATAAACATTTATCTGTTTTAAAGGGCCTGTTCTGTTTTTTGGAGTAGTTGAGAATTAGAGATGTTTGCTCTATCCACTCATCACCAGTCACATTAYCACTAACCACCAATAATCCATTCCTCTGGCAGCGACATGTAGTCGTGCCTCAACTCTGCCTTCAGCATGTTTGACAAATGATGTGGTACACCTCTCATCGTAAACCCTCATTCTCACCATGCTGCCAGCTTCATCCTTCCAAACATATCTTTTTCCAGAAGCTGACCGTTTCAAATGTTTTGTAGCATGGTGTAGTTTGCTTTTTATTTTTTCGTGCGTTAGCAGCGGTTAGCTTGTTGTGCTCACACTGGAGGCAAAGCTGACAACTATGTTTACATCAACCTGCATCAGGAAGTGACTCAGTGTATCAAAACATTTGTCTTTTTGCCTAAAAAGTGCTTCTCAGAATTTCAGACATGACAACACATCATATCATATTTATAAAATCTGCACTTAGATTGTGATATAACGAAGTTCACAGAACAAAATATGTGAAAACTTCTTAAAGTTGGAAGGTTAAGAAAATCTTCCAGACATCTTTGTAATTATTATATAAATGGGGGAAAAAAAGCCACGGTTTCTGAAAGCAACAGATGCGTCTCAAATCACATTTGCTAATAAACATTTATTATGAAAAACAGAAAGTCAGAGTGCTTTTTGTGATTGTTTCTCGCAGCTCCACACAGACAAGAAACAGATAAGCGTGGGTTTCATCGGCTACCCGAATGTAGGAAAGAGCTCAGTCATCAACACACTTCGGTCTAAGAAGGTCTGCAACGTGGCACCCATCGCAGGAGAAACAAAGGTAAAGCTCATCATGTCTCATACTACGAAGAATGTGTGTAATGTCAGAATGTAAACACGGTGAAATGGTAAACATTCTCCTGACTTTTGTAGGTGTGGCAGTACATCACTCTGATGAGGCGCATTTTTCTCATTGATTGCCCCGGTGTTGTCTACCCATCAGAGGACAGTGAATCTGATATTGTCTTAAAGGGGGTGGTAAGTCTTCAGATCTGAAGTTATCTAAAAACACTTTTACTACACAATTCTCCTAAATCCCCAAATGTTGCAAAGAGAATAAAATAGTATGTGCTGTTCTTAATGTTGAAAAATGAAATAATATATGAAAAAAATCATTAACAAATTCCAGAGAGATTTATTTAAGACAAATCATCTACTAATGGTATATGGAGTATTGAATGAGAAAACTTGAAGTAGATTTGATTTCTAACAGCTGACATTCTGAGGATCCTCTAGTAGGATCAAAGTTTGATCATGCAAACAGTACATACTGTACCTTTCTTCTCCTACTCTCTTTCTTTTCACAGGTTCAGGTAGAGAAGATCAAGAACCCAGAAGACCACATCGGTGCAGTACTGGAGCGAGCCAAGCCTGAGTACATTCAGAAGACTTACCGTGTCCCTGCGTGGAAATCTCCTGAAGACTTTCTGGAGAAGCTGGCATTTCGAACTGGAAAACTTCTGAAGGTCACCTTTTTTTTCTTTTTTTTTTTTTCTTTTTTTGCATTTTGAGGAAAAATCTCTTGACAGCATTTATCCTGATAAGATCTTGAGGTTCACTTTAAATTATGACTATAAACCTAAGGGAGGTAGGGTGTATTTTCCAGGCACATAGTTCAATTCTATAAACAATCAAGTCACTATGTTACCTTCAGTTGTTATGAAAATGCAGTATATATCAGAGCTATTCAGCTTAATCACTCCAGGGGCCACAGTTAATGCAGGTCAACAGCACAGGGGCTGAACATCCAGCAATTAAAGTCATTATGTAAATAAACCAAGTATTAAAAAGATCTGTTACCTTTGAAATAGTTTATTTTGCTGCATTTAATACAACATACAGAACCCTATAAAAGTAGTGAAAATAAAAAAACAAAAATAACACATTATGCCTCCTATTTGACACAAATATTATTTTAACATCTGACTTGCCAAAAATTTTGAACCATTTTTATTTTCACTTTCATAGTTTTATCTTAAACTGCTTGTAATTTTAACTGTCTTGAGTGTGCATAGAAATGGTTTTTACCAGCTTGTAGCCAAGAATCTGATGTTTCTGTAGACACCAAACATGTCTGTTTAACTAAAAGAACTTAGAGTAATTAAAGTAGAAAACTGGGGGTTTGGGCTTAAGAGATAAATGCACCAATTGGCGGGCCAAACTGGACATCCCCGCGGGCCGCCAGTTGAATAGCACTGGTATATATCAAAAAGTACATTTGAAATGCCTTTAAAATTGGCCTCTGTCTGAACCTCCGACTGTTTCCAACACTCAAACATGCATGAATGAGTCAAAGCAACACTCTGCATATGTGTTTGATGAGGGAACAACATTATTACGTAATAAAGCTGAAAAAAGTCAATTTTGCAAAAAAAAATATCAAACTGTTTGTGAATCAGTCAAATTATACAGGAGCATTATTTTATCTGTATCATGCAGGGAGGTGAACCTGATCTCTCCACAGTCTCCAAAATGGTGTTGAATGACTGGCAGAGGGGACGTATCCCCTTCTTCGTGAAACCTCCTGGACCTGAGGGGGATCCGGATGTGAGAGTTTTCAGAACTCATTAGAATTCCTCACCAACCTTCTCTATTTGTTTTAACCTCCTTTTATTGTCACATCTCCAGAATGAAACCCAACTGGCAGTTGAAGCAGCACCAGTTCTAGAGGAGAATGTGCCGGAGGAACAGCCAGACCTTCCTGAAACGGTCTCAGCAGAGCAGAAGGAACAGTTGCAGAGACAGAAGGAGCAGGTCCAGAAGATCCTCTCCAACGTTCGACAAAACTTCGGAAAGATCAACGTGGCACCGGAGTTCAGCGAGGAGGACCTTGTACCAGTGGAGTTGCCGGACCTGGACATGTCTGACGACTCTGGATCAGAGGCTGATGAAGATGAGGGTGCAGAGGAGGATGAGGCCAACGTTGAGCCAGGAGAAGAAGAGGCTGAGGCTACAGCACCTCAGACTGAGAAGGCAAATAGCAAAAAGAGTTCACGGGAGGTGATTCTTGAACTCGATGAGAAAATTGCCAAGTACAAGCAGTTTCTGGATCGAGCCAAATCCAAGCGCTTCTCTGCAATCAGGTCAGTTCAAATTTCACTATATTTTCTTTGTGTTGGACTGAACTCGACAGACAGACAGAGGCCACTCATGAAGTTTTTAATGAAAATCAACTTTGAACTCTCTAAAAAGTAGCAATTCTTACACCTGTCGTTTATCTAAAATTTTTTAAATCTAGATTTACCCTTAAAATGTATCTTACCCCCCTGTGAAAAGATAACTCCACCCTAAGGCGAAATTTGAAAAATGCATCAAAGTGGGTAGGGGAAGGGTTGTGGGTGGGGAAGGGGTGTGGGTGGGGGGTAGAGAGCAGAGGTGTGGCCAGGACGAGAGAACGCGACAGCTAGCATTAGCATAATTGATGCTACATGGAGAGTGACCACAGCGACGCAGATAGTTACATCTCTGAATGGTCTGAAGTGGAGGATTTTTCACCCCCCTCCTCACCAGAGGCAGAGAGAGACTTGATCAAGTCAGCTCAGTCTGGGACTGACTCGTGTTTTCTTCCTGGATCAGGACACGGAGCTCTTTACCGCAGCCTTGGCTGAGCTCTGTCCGCCTCACACCACTCCAGCCCCGGACAGAGGAGGTGGAGCGCTCTGACAGCCTTACAGAAAAAGTAAAAGCATACAGCTGCAGCTGCTCACAAGATCGCTAGTTTAAAACATGAATAAAACTGTTTGGTCTTGTTTGACTGAAGTTCGATCCGGATCGGACTGTAGCTGCCCCGCTGCGCAGTACTCTTTCTGCATTTTTTCCCCTCCTCCCCTCCCGCTGTGTGTGTGTGTGGAGAAGGAGAGAGAGAGAAGCGTAGCAGTCCGCTCCTCTCCCCACCCGAGGTTGAGGGAGGCTGAAGGTCAACAGACGATCATGCTAAGCTTGCTAACAGCTCCAC